TTTTTACAACATCCATCTTAGAGATGGATGTAGGTGAGTCAGCCGGTTCTTGCACCCGTTGACTCATAAATAACTTTTCAATTATTTAATTGACAAAAAGGAATGGAATATTTTAGTAGGATGCTCTAACTACCAGTGTACCACCCTATAGGATAGCATATCAAAAGAAATTAGGAATGTAGTAGTAAATGTGTAATGCTGCTTTCAAATCATGGCTGAAGCATTCACCCCAAAAAGATCATGGCTTAAGCTTATTTTTTACCAACCTTTCTATTTTAAATTATAAAATTCGGTGAGTTTACTGAAAAAGAAAGAAAATGTTTAGATTGCGTGAGCAGCAACCACATTAAAGCAACCTTATAGCTTTTCAAGTAAATATAGAGAGCTGCAATTATAGCGGAAATAATGGCAGCTATAACGCTCACACCAAATATCAGTGATTATATGAAGATCCTAGATGGAGTGATATTGGGTTTCCCAGTTTAACAATAAGATAAGGAAAATTGTTTCATGCGGGTTGGACAGCATTTCTACTTATCCGGTTCAAAAAGTGTCAAGCACCCATTTTAATGATGGATGCAAATAAGTATTCCATCTAACAATAATGAAAATTAACAGTTCAAATGTGTTTTTACTAGAACTATTTTTTTTTTTTTTTCATATTCATGATCTCCACGTTAGAGATTACATGTCTTTAAAAACTAAGTCTTAAAATCCATCTCAAAAATAAATTTATTAAGAGACTCGCATTTCTACATATACGGGCTTGGCCGCATAGAAACCGGATCCATAAGATCATGCTATAAAACAAAAACAAGACCTCTTATTTTTTAAAAAAGGGGGTCATTTGTAAAAGATGACAATTTTAATCAGAGTGAAAGGCCACCTCTAAATCTTGCTAAAAGTTACACTTCCGGTGCCGAAATATCTTTCGATGGCCTAAAACTCTACTTTCACCCCTGATATGATATTTAAATCTCCAAAATTGTGTGGATTGAGCGTACCTATAAATACTTAAAAATTATGAAAATTATTAGTCTAGATAATGTCCTACAATATGCAATATTTTTAGGACATAATTTTTTTTTCTTTATATATATATATATATATGTAGTTACAGTGTCAGCTAAAGGTTTAGATTGAATTTGAGCATAATCCAATGGTCAAGACTTGATTTCGTATTTGAATTTTTATTTTATTTTTTATACAAATCCAAATCATTTAAAATTTTAAACATCTATTTTTAAAACATATTGAAATCTAATAAAATATTAAAAAAATAATTTGAAAAATATAAATGGACCAAAATACCCCCGATAGTTTTGGGGGATATTTTGGTTAATTTGTTTAATATTTTTATTAGATGCAACTTGATTATTAGAATGTATACCTAAAATTTCAAATGATTTGGATTCGTAGAAAAAAAATGAAAATGAAAATTCGAAATAAGGTCGTGATCATTAGATCGGCCGAGATTCAATCTGGACCATTGGTTAATACTGTAAAAGTTAGCCCGTGGGCTGACAGCATCCATTC